ATGGAATACGATGATGTCATCACTCAAACTGACATGCTCACAACGCCACCAATTCACAATGTTGTCTTAACTCAATGGAAAATGTTCCAAACTGCACCAGACTTCAGATGACAGTTAATGGTCCGGCCCTCAACACATTAATATGACGAAAGTGAGTTTTCCTCAAAAGCTGTTGTCATGGCAACGAATCCCTCGCCATAAAACACGGTGTCGCTGTAAATCCAATGGACACGGTCCCATCGTCCCCCAATCTTCACTTTTATATCACTGGTCCATGACTCAACAGCTCTACGTGAAATCTGAGATCTCACCGTATGCCGTTTCCATGGCAACGAATCCTTCGCCATAAAACACGGTGTCGCTGTAACCCCAATGGACACGGTCCCATCGTCCCCCAATCTTCACTTTTATATCACCGGTCCATGCCTCAACAGCTCTACGTGAAATCTGAGATCTCATCATATGCCGTTTCCATGGCAACGCATCCCACGCCGTAAAACACGGTGTCGCTGTAAATCCAATGGACACGGTCCCATCGTCCCCCAATCTTCACTTTTATATCACTGGTCCATGCCTCAACAGCTCTACGTGAAATCTGAGATCTCACCGTATGCCGTTTCCATGGCAACGCATCTCTCGCCATAAAACACGAAGTCGCTGTTACTCCTATGAAAATGGTTCCAAACTGCACCAGACTTCAGATGACAGTTAATGGTCCGGCCCTCAACAGCTCTACGCCAATTATGGGATGTCACCATATGCCGTTTCCATGGCAACGCATCCCTCACCAAAAAACACAATGTTGTCTTAACTCAATGGAAAAGGTTCCAAACTGCACAAGACTTCAGATCATGGCTACTAGTCCGGCCCTCAACAGCACTATGTCAATTATGGGATGTCATCATATGCCGTTTCCATGGCAACGCATTCCTCGCCATAAAACACGGTGTCGCTGTAAATCCAATCGACACGGTCCCATCGTCCCACAATCTTCACTTTTATATCACTGGTCCATGACTCAACAGCTCTACGTGAAATCTGAGATCTCACCGTATGCCGTTTCCATGGCAACGCATCCCACGCCGTAAAACACGATGTTGTCTTAATTCAATGGAAAAGCTTCCAAACGGCACCAGACTTCAGATGACAGTTAATGGTCCGGCCCTCAACAGCTCTACGTGAAATCTGAGATCTCATCGTATGCCGTTTCCATGGCAACGAATCACTCGCCGTAAAACACGATGTTGTCTTACGTCAATGGAAAATGGTCCAAACTGCACCACACTTCAGATGATGGCTACTAGTCCGGCCCTCAACAGCTCTACGTGAAATCTGAGATCTCACCGTATGCCGTTTCCATGGCAACACATCCCACGCCGTAAAACACGATGTTGTCTTAATTCAATGGAAAAGATTCAAAACGGCACCAGACTTCAGATGACAGTTAATGGTCCGGCCCTCAACACATTAATATGACAAAAGTGAGTTTTCCTCAAAAGCTGTTGCCATGGCAACGAATCCCTCGCCATAAAACACGGTGTCGCTGTAAATCCAATGGACACGGTCCCATCGTCCCCCAATCTTCACTTTTATATCACTGGGCCATGACTCAACAGCTCTACGCAAAATTTGAGATCTCACCCTATGCCGTTTCCATGGCAACTAATCACTCGCCGTAAAACACGATGTTGTCTTAAGTCAATGGAAAATGGTCCAAATTCCACCACACTTCAGATGATGGCTACTAGTCCGGCCCTCAACAGCTCTACGTGAAATCTGAGATCTCACCGTATGCCGTTTCCATGGCAACGCATCCCACGCCGTAAAACACGATGTTGTCTTAAGTCAATGGAAAATGGTCCAAACTGCACCAGACTTCAGATGACAGTTAATGGTCCGGCCCTCAACAGCTCTACGTGAAATCTGAGATCTCACCGTATGCCGTTTCCATAGCAACGCATCCCACGCCGTAAAACACAATGTTGTCTTAAGTCAATGGAAAAGCTTCCAAACTGCACCAGACTTCAGATGACAGTTAATGGTCCGGCCCTCAACAGCTCTACGTGAAATCTGAGATCTCACCGTATGCCGTTTCCATGGCAACGCATCCCACGCCGTAAAACACGATGTTGTCTTAAGTCAATGGAAAATGGTCCAAACTGCACCAGACTTCAGATCATGGCTAATGGTCCGGCCCTGAACACATCTAAGCGTATTATGGGGTGTCATCAAATTCCGTTGCCATGGCGACAGATCACTCGCCATCAAACACAATGTTTATGATACTGCTGTAACTCCCCATTTACGTTGTCCGATCGGCCTGAAACTTCCCACGTTTGCCAACGGCCGAGTCCGGAAAACTCCTGCATGATACCTCGACGTGCGGACAACAGCCTGCGGAGCGTCGAAGACCCGCTCAACGCTGCTTGCAGCTTTAATTAGGGTCTGAGACCATAGGTCGGCGAAGACCCTATTGAAATCGGTCGCGCAGCGACCGATAAACCTGCGAAAAACACATAAAAACAGGGAAAACGACCGGCAAAAGCACAGAAAAGGTTCGGAAATAGTAACGGCAGATAGTCCGCGCGAGCCCAGTCACGTGGGCGAAGCCCACGTGAGTGCAACTCGCATAATTAATATCGTTACCATCAATTTAGTCGCTCGCGCAGCGAGCGATAACCATGCAAAACCCACTAAAAACAGGGAAAAAGACGGGTAAAAGCCCATTAAAAGTGGCCTAAATCATGACAGTAGGTAGCCCACGCGAACCTAGTCACATGGGCGCTTCGCGCCCATGTGACTAACTTGCGCATTATTGATATTGGTCCGATTATTATTAGGGTCTGAGACCATAGGTCGGCGAAGACCCTATTGAAATCGGTCGCGCAGCGACCGATAAACCTGCGAAAAACACCCAAAAACAGGGAAAACGACCGGCAAAAGCACAGAAAAAGTTCGGAAATAGTAACGGCAGATAGTCCGCGCGAGCCCAGTCACGTGGGCAAAGCCCACGTGAGTGCAACTCGCATAATTAATATCGTTACGATCAATTTAGTC